GCACAATTTCACAAAAAAGTGTTAATTATGAATATTACTATAATAATAAATAATTATTATTACGAAGTAAAATTATTCATATAAAAATACAAAATAATAAATATGAATATCATTTCACTGTAAAAAATTTATGTAATATTTAATAAACTGTAAAATTACAATATTAATATATTATTTTTTACTAATATACTCCTACTAATTACTAAAAAAAAATATATATATATTAAATAAGAAATATTAATATCGTAATATGTGATGTGATTTAAATTTAAAAAGCTTCATGAATGAGTTGAATACAAACTGAATATGAATATAAAATACTAATATTATAATAATAAATAATATAATAATTAGTCAAAGATGGAGAGAGATATTATTAAAAATCCTAGTTATAATAATGATATTTATTATAATGATTACTAAATAAAATATTAACTGTAAAATAAGTAGTTAAAAAAATTAAATAATGATACACCTGTAAAACTACAACAATACCAGTTTGGGCTTTCTTAATTTCTTCCTTTTCAAACATGAAATCAATGAGCTTTTGTTTTGGTGGAAATCCACATGGATCCTTAAAGCTTCAGTTTTGTTGACAACAGCCGGTTTATAAGCGTTTCTCACTACAAGTTTAGGAATATGGTTGTCGTCGCATGTTTCGTTCCCAAATGCATGTTATAAGCGACTCAAACTCAGGACAGATGCAGAGACGAGTGGAGCAACATTTACTGTGAACTGAGAAAATAAATTCACCAGATCATGAGCTGCTCGCGTGCAAAAGGAAAGTGCCGCTCTTCACTCTGAAACACGCAGCGCATATATTTATTTAATTAAATCACGGCCTTTGCGTTTTGAAAATCGCACTAAGCCATAACTCGTTTTTGGTTTTATTTCAATTACAAATAATTGATTCAGGCTTTTAGTATATGATCAATAAGCATTCTCACTGAAACCAAATGGTTTATGATTTGACATTCAATTTGTTAACGATCATGAAATTTTGCATAATATGTTTGACAGAATATTTCTAGCATCACACCATAAGAAATCTTGCTTAAGTTGAGTTGTAAGCTTAAATTGAATGCAATGAATGATCAACTCAACATTCTCCAGCTTTCTTTTGCATGATCCTCGTTGGTTGCACGCAGCAACAAACACACATCTGCAAGCAACCAATTTGATCAGAAATACGCACCAGTCTTAGGCTAATTAGATTCGTCCAGGTAGAGCCGTGATAATGACCTCTTCAGTTTGAGTCATGTGACCTTTGTGAGTTGAGATTGGTGCTGTAATATGACTCAGTGTGAGGCTGACTCATGCTCGTGGTTTAGCAGGGTATTGCAGGCTAGTCATGACCTCCCTCATTATGTGGGGTGATAATTGCCCAAACATGCAGTAGGAATGAGTGAATCTCGACGTGCCGCTGCTAATCTGTCTCGTACGGAGAGCCAGAGATGGTGTGCGCTCTGGTGAGTTTGTCGTAGGCGTTTGGACTTGAAATTTACAGTGAAATTGCAGTGGGTGTCATGATGATCCTTAATGCTCATTCTAATGTTGTGCAAGTTGTGCAAACATGCCTAATCACTGAATGTTTCGAGTCTTTTGGTTTGAACCCACAAGCGAATGAGATTTGACACTGTGAGCGTTTGCATTAGTTGTTCTGGTTGATGGATGTTAAACTGATGGAATGTGAGCAGTACCTGTGTGCTGTGGTCACATGACCTCCACATACCTGGGCAGGTGGGACACATTCGGGCCGGTGCCAGGTTTTGCCTCCACGCTACGCCCTACATACTTCACTCATTAAATATAGAAGAAAAACTGAGCGCTGCAGTGCTGAATGTTAATTTTGCATAAAGGAGGTGTGACGTATAACAAGGTGTGCAGACTCTGAAGACTGACTTTTGTAGCCTGAGCGAGTAGGAGTGTGTAAGAGTTTGTATTTAGTGTGTGTGCGGCGTACTAAAACCATTTTACCGTGTATGATGAGTGATAATGTGAGTGAAAGAGCGGTTTGCTTCCTGCAGGAAGATGAACTGTAAACTAGAGCAGAGCTTAACTGGAGGTCGTGAATTATTTACGTTTCATCCTCAAGAGTGGCGATAATGAAATGAGCTTTAGGTCATGCTGCAAATTCTTATTTAAAATCATCTGTTGCCTTTTTTGTTAAAGTTTGAGCCACGACATTAACTTTGCTATGAATGCTTGTAGTTTTGGGGCAATTTTTCATCATTGATCATCTTTTTGACGGATTGCTTTTGCTTCTCTTTTGGAAGTTGATTTAAATAAAGCATCTGCTAAATGTGTAAAGTTTTTCAGGCCCTGTTTACACCTGGTGTTAAGAAATGTTTTCATCAATCCGATCACAAGTGGATGAAACAAAATACGTAAACAGGGTCTAAAACGTTTTCAGCTTGTCCACTTTCAGAGGTAGACATAAACATATTGGACCGGATTGCTTTCATAGTGTAGAGACGCTCATGTGTTCGAACAGCAGCAAAAGACAGTCTACTCTCCGCCTACTGACCTAATACTTAAACATTATGTGAGCGCTGAAGACCCAAGTTTGGTTTGAAGATGAGAAACGTACCAAGCACAAACGTCTCATTCATAAATTGCGCGCGCTTGTTTCGTCCATTAGATCGAAAGATCTGTAAAAGCCGATACAATTACCCCCCCCCCCCCCCCCCCCCCCCCAGAAGTGGATGAAAGTGGACAAAAGAGATGGATTAAAACACCAGGGGCCTCATTTATAAACGTTGCGTACGCACAAAAGAAGCCGTACGCCGCTCTCTACGCAATAATTGGTATTTATAAAAAGCAAACTTGACGGTAAAATGTGCGGTCCTGCACGCAAGCTCTGACCCAGGCGTACGCACAAAAACGGGTGAAATGAGAAATGGCGACACCGTCGGCAGATAGAAGAAACACGTGAAAGTGTGTGAAACTGTAGACCGTTGTGTAAAATAAATGGCAATACTGCCTCTCATAAATAACACGAAGACGTCACAAAGCAAGTATTACAATTAACAGCCAACACGAACACCCGTTTGATCGATCTGCAACAGAAATGCAAATTAACACATATTTGCAAAAAAGAAAAGTGAAATATGTTCTGCAATAATATTGGCATGTTATACAATTCATCCTCATAAATAAGATGGTAAACAACAGAACGAAATAATGTACAAAACTGATATTCTCGCCAATGTGTCCGTCTGGCGGAGCAGATATAGCTAGATATAGCTAGATAGTCAGTCAGATAGATAGATAATTAGGGAGAGATAGATAGATAAATAGATGTATTATTTGTCCACTGGGGAAAGTTGTTTTCATAGTAAAAATGTCTTTATCAGCTACGGAATCATGGTATTCATGCAGGTATTTCATGCATATGCCTTTAGTCTGTTTTATTTTTGATAAAATAACGTATGACGTATGTGTCTCAACCATTCAGAAAGCTGCAAGAAATTACATTTGCGCTGAACTATTTCCCATTTCCAAGTAGATTATAACCGACATCTGTAGCTTGTCATTTCTTTTTTATTTCGGCCACAGTCCGTCTGCAACCTTTTGCCACTCAAGTGCCTTTTTGGCATTATTAGGCTAATGCCCACACTGTGCCCTCCAAACAACATTTTTCTCCTCTTTTCCACCTCGCCAACGATAACTTCTACTTCACATTGAATGAAGTTACGTTTTTTTGATTTCCTCTCTATGTTTGCCATGATTTCGCAATCGATGAATATTAACTTGTGGGCGTTTCACGGACTATTTATGGGCAACTATGGGCGTGACATGAAGCCGCAAAAGCTGCGCTACATTTAGAATTGATTGTGATTTATTAAGGGAAAAATGCGTAGGATGTGCGTGCGCACGGTTTTATAAATGAGGCCCCAGGTGTAAATGGGACTGTCTCCCTCGTCTACTTGTGATCCCATCGACCAAAACGCATCTTAATTCCAGGTGTAAACAGGGCCTTTTTTAAAGATGCCGTTGCATTAGTCCAGCAGTTTTTAAACGCAAAGACACGTCTTGGTAAAAGCCTTCCAAGAAATGGATCTGATGAACCCCTGAACCTGAAACTAGCCTAATTATACAGTTGAGTTTCGCACATCATCCATATATCACTCATTATGTAGCTGGAGTGCATGACCTCTTAATGACCCCTGAAACAGACTCAAATGATGTAAGTCGCAATGTTATTGATCACAGAAAGAGAAATCGGGCACAACAAAAGCAGCAAGATCGAGTGCACAACACAAAAAAACATCCTTTCGTTTAAACCGGTGAAAATGGTATTGAAATCAAACAGCTGTTATGATCTGGGAAGTATTTCTCGATGTTCATGTAAATGAAGTGTGTGCATGAATTATAAATGTGCAGGGCGGCCGGGGGACTCGAGTCAAAATCCGGTCTTTGCTTACGCTTGTTTTAAATCCTCAACACTAGAAAAAAAAACTGGATTTGCTTTGAAACAATTTTCACTCAGGAATTGCTAGTTAATTTCACAATGACAAAGAAACGGTAAACTTTTGAAGTAGAAAGACTGAAATGGTATTTTCTTGTTATTTACTACATCAAAAAAAGAAAAAAGTTTAGTTTATCCTGAACTTAGTATCTTATGTGTACATCTCTGATCTTTATATATACTCATCTCTGACGACTCGGTAGGGCTTAATTATGCCAGAGACGGGAAAGAATGGCTCTGTGCTTCATTCACCGAAAATTACAGTATATGCATGATGACAAAATGTGTTCCTAAGTGTGTTTTGTGTGTTCTTGCCTCCACAGGAAGCTGATCTCTCCCTCACACACACACGCACACGTGCTGGAAGTGCGATGTTGAGCTGTGAAGCTGGATGTAGGTGAGCATTGGAGCGCTCTCTGCTGGACGATCACAGTTAACACACATCTACAGAAATGGGACAGATGGATGTTTTGGCTTTACCATCCTCTAAATAAACAACAGCATAGCAAACACAACATGTGTGATCTCCCTGTACTTTTCCATCTCAACTGTTTCTCTCCGCACATCGTTTCTTTTGCACAGGGGGCCAATGGTGTGTTAAAGGCGCCATGGGGAGCTGTTGTAGCTGTCCCGATAAAGAGATCATCCCTGACAACCATCACAACAAATTCAAAGTGAGCAACGAAACGGTCTGAAGGTGTCTGTCTGTCACACATGTACTGCGGTGAACAGATGCCATGCGTTACAGAGAGTAAAGTTCTCATTTTTATTAATATACCAAATCATGAAATGCTCTAATAAGAAAATAAATCAGCTTTTGTGTTCTCAGAGGATCAGAAACTGTTCTTACTTTACCCAAGATGCCTCTGTGTGTGTCTATGGAAGAACGTGTGTTTACTGAGGCTAGATTCTTACTATGCCACATACATTTACTACCAGGCAGAAGTTCGGACGCAGTTTAGACTCATCATTCTAAAATATGAAGTAGGAAAATTAAAAGTAATCCCAAAACTGTGAAATAACAGTGTTATATGCGAATTATGTAGTGACCCAAAAAAAGCTAAAGTTGTATTTTTATTTGATTTATTTTAACACTGTGCAGATGCTGAAAGTGGTGTGTGTGTGTGTGTTTGTAGGTGATAAACGTGGATGATGATGGTAATGAGCTGGGCTCGGGCGTGATGGAGTTAACGGAGGAAGAGCTCATTCTGCACACGCGCAAACGAGACGCCGTTAAGTGGCCCTACCTCTGCCTGCGTCGATATGGCTATGACTCCAACCTCTTCTCCTTTGAGAGCGGCCGGCGCTGCCAAACCGGTCAAGGTGAGGCTCACGAGCCTACTTAGTCTCTCTCCATCACATCTGCTTTTACTGTATGACTGATATTTGTTGCTTTGTGTCATTCACATTCATTCTTCACTCCTCTTCAGGGATATTCGCGTTCAAGTGTACACGGGCCGAGGAGATCTTTAACATGCTGCAGGACATCATGCACAACAACAGCATCAGTGTTGTGGAGGAACCAGTGCTGGAGCCTGAGCTTCCAGTGACGCCACACACTCCCACCAGTAAGAACAGACACACTTCCAGTTTTCACATTCATATTGGACTCTCTTACTAACTCTTCAATCACTCTCTCTACAGCTCCTGGTTACTCTGTCCCAACAGTAGCCAATGGAATCGGCCGTTACCCGTCATTTGGCGACGCGTCCTCGCGCCCTTCGAGTCGCCATCCTTCAGTGGGCAGCACTAGGTTACCATCAGTAGGGGAGGAATCAACACACCCACTGCTGCTCAATGATGAAACGGTACAGACGCACTTCACTTAAAAACACAGGCTAACACTTTACACAGGGTTCCCGCGGAGTCTTAAAAAGTCTAAAAAAGACTTAAATTCAGAAAGTGAAATTTAAGGCCTCAAAAAGTCTAAAAAACACAAGTTTAGGTCTTAAATTTAATTTACCCAAGTCTTAAAATTCTTACCTTCGTTAATTTTGTTAATTGTGGTCAAGCGTTGTCCGCCGAAAATAAAATGTTGGTTGTTTTGTTTTCTAGTAGGCTACGTGATGATGATAATCCCATGTGATAATCCCATTGCGTGATCACTGCAGGTATAACTCCTGTAAAGTAGGTGGCGGTATGTAACCCGCGCCGCCAATAAAGTGAAGGAAGTTGGTTCACTAGCTACCTGCCCGCCGAATTCGTGCAAGTTGCAACGTTAAGTCGGGGCTGTCGTCGAGCGCGTAGTTTTCAAATATCATGGGGACGGGAAGTGTGTGTTTAACATGACTTGGCTCGATAAGGGTGAGTTTTGCAGCTGGTTACAAGCTGTCCCTAGCAATAGATATGAAGCTCGCTGCAAAATATGCAAGAAGATAATACAGCTAGGGACATTGGGTGTGAAGGCGCTCGAGCATTGCGAAAACGTTTACGTGCGGACCGAACAAGATCGCTTATATAGCAAGATTTGGTATAGCGGACTTCATCAAGAGAGATCTAATTAACACCATGAGCGGACCGTATGTCTTGATGTTCGTTGTTTACTCATTAAACTGCAAGAAAGAGATGATAATTTGGTGGATGATTTAAAAATATTCGTTAATCATCTGTAAATTGTGTAGTCATTTGAATGTAATCATAACGGTCGCCTGAGGGCGCTCAACGACCACGTCATCCGTAAGCGTGAGTTTCTAACAAAAAACAACAGTTTACTAAAAAGAATAAATACATTAAATAATTTACCATTGTTAATTTGTGTTTATTTTTGTTTGTTGTTTTTGTATTTAACCCTTTTACTCGTAAATTTAAAATATTCGAACTGATCCCCCAGCGTGAGTTTTTCTAGGCGACCGTTATTTAGAACCTGTCACTTTAATGTTTCCATGGTGACGCGTCATTGCTTGTCACGTGACACAGCGCAACCACAACAGTGCTGAATGAATGATGATCTGCTTTGATGTAATTTTCCCTTTTCTATTCAAAATATTCACAAATGTATTAGCTATAACATGAAACACTGATATTCCGATTGTCAAATATGTGCAAGTGGATGTGTTTTGTTGTTTAAACACCTTCATAACGATCGCGTTAGTTGATCGTTATGAAGGTGTCAGCACAAATCAGCTGTTTGTGCGATGGGCGGCGCCATGTTAGTTTACAACACGTCAATTCCTCAACTTCTCATGAAATACATGAAAGTGGCCGGAGAACTGGGAGAAGAATAGTTTAAAATGTAAAGCTACTTACACAATGTGTATCTGATATGAATAAAACGTGTCGTCTTATTAGAATGGAAAGGATTATTATTGCCGCTTCCATAGACATCAGTCAGTGTGTGTATTTTACAAACTTAAAATATGTTTAAGAATTTCTGGGATCATTCTAATGTTTCTATTTATGTGTCGTGTTGGTCTTAAACTTCACACATAATGGTCTTAAAAGGTCTTAAAAAGGTCTTAAATGTAACAAACTGAAACCTGCAAGAACCCTGTTTACATTAAGGTTTCATTTGTTGCCCGAGTATCAATTCAGCATATTAGAATGATTTCTAAAGAATCATGTGACACTGAAGACTGGAGTAATGGCTGATGAAAATTTAGCTTTGATCACAGGAATAAATTATATTTTAAAGTATATTAAAAATAGAAAAAAATATATTTTAAATTGTAATAATATTTTTTATTAGTGGTTTTCAGATTTTTTTATCAAATAAATGCAGTTTGATAAGCATAAGAGACTTTAAAAACATTAAAAAAATAGTAATGTTTCCAAACTTTTGACCGGTACTGAATGTTTTGAATGAAAAATGTCATGACATGTTATTAAAGCAGGTTTTGTGCGTACAAGCACTCCTCGCATTTTTATAAGAAAATGTAAAACTCTTAATTCATATTTTTCTTCTGATGAATGTACTGTCTGTGCAGGTGCACACTTACGTCAACACGACGGGTCTACAAGAGGAGCGGCGCTGTCGTAGCAGTGGCCACGCCCCTCTGGAGCTCCGGACGTCCAATCCCGAGAGCGCACTCCCAACGCCGGCCAATGAGACTGAGCCGCACGTGGTTTTGGACTCAGAGGGTGTAAAGTTTGTTTTAGGCCCTACGCCTGTCCAGAGACAGATGCTGCTCAAGGAGAGCCCGCAAGATCTCAGCGAGCAGGACGCAGGAGTGCCCGGCTCTAGTACAGATAACGCCACTTCTCCTGCAAAGACAGTGAATGGCTGCACAGGCCTTGCGACAGACTGTGACACCGGGTACGATAGTGATGAGCGCAAAGAGACGCCGCACGAGCAGCAAAACGGTGTGGTCGGGTCCGGAGCGAGACGAAACAGACCTCCTGTACCGCTTCCCGACGCCCACAACGCCAACAACTCAGCCCAACGGCGGACTGCGCTGCTCAACTACGAGAACCTGCCGGCGCTGCCGCCCGTGTGGGAAACACGCAAACCCAACAGCGAGGCGGAGGACGAGGACGATCTCAAGTCGCCCTCTCTGAACGGCTTCCATCCCCTCGATCCCCAGCACAACTACGTCAACACGGAGAACGTCACGGTGCCGCTCAGCGCACACAAACTCTCCAGCACTCAGCCCACCGTATTCAGCTTTGACCTCCGGAGGCTCGGGGTGGGCGACCCGCTCCGGCAGCTCAACTACATTGAGGTGGAAATGGACAAAGTGTCGGACTCCAGTGGACCTCACACCCCCAAAACACCCACCACACCCTTACCACCCACCCCCACGCGCCGGACTGAGCTGTACGCCGTCATCGACATAGAGCGCACGGCTGCCATGTCCAGCCTGCAGAAAGCACAGCCACGGGATGACGGCACATCCAGGAAAACTCGACACAACAGCACCGACCTGCCCATGTGACCCGACCAGCACTGATCCAGCAAACCAGTCGGTTTACTCGTCCCAGAATGCTGGACGAATCTCACGAAAACCTGTCAGGTCACATTTCACTGAGATATCTAAAGAAATAAACAACTATATTCCACATTTACCCTATTTTCATACCAGCAAACCCGTCGGTTCTGGTCGTATTTTTATACAGCATATGTGGAGTGTTGTACATTTGAACTGGTGTATGGCAATAAAAAAGAAGCTACAAATCGAAATCATCACATTTAATCACATACATACACTAATGTTCTTCTCATGCTCAACAAGGTTGCATTAATTTGTTCAAAGATACAAAATTTTTTTTTAACTTTTCTATGTGAATATATTTTAAATTGTAATTTATTCCTGTGATCTAAGCTGATGTTTTTTTTCAGCATCATTACTCAGTCTTCAGTCTTCAGTGTCACATGATCCTTCAGAAATCACTCTAATATGATGATTTGTTGCTCAAGAAACATTCCTCAAACATATTAAGCAGCAAAAACTGTTTTCAACATTGGTAAATGATAAATGGTAATAATTAAGCACCAAATTGTTCAAATGATTTCTGAATGATCATGTGACTGCAGACTGCAGTAATGATGCTGAAAATTCAGGTTTGCATCACAGGAATAAATTACATTTTAAAATGTATACAAATAGAAGTTGTAATAATATTCCAGAATGTTATTACCCTTTTCTTCAAAAATGGTTTAAAGGTAAATCATTTTATAAAACTTTTTTGTTTTTGCCAAAACCTGTATTAATTGAACACTAAGGTTGTTAAAATCCTCATTTTTCAGTCATTTTAGGATTTAGGATTATTATCGTAGACATTGAAGCTGTTTAAAAATGTAACTGCTGATTCCAATTACTATTATTTTTTAGAAGGATTAATAAGTATTATTAGATTTGATCTCCCCCTCCTCCTCATAAAAACTCGGGTATGAATTTATGGATTCATAGGAATGTGCTTGAAAATGCAGAATATCTTCTTAAATGGTTTTAAAAAAAACAACGTTCATTTTCGTTATGCAAATATAAGCTTGTATTTCTTTAGATTCAGGATGAAATATGATCTAGGTGTGACAGGTTTTGTGAGATTCACTCAGTTTAAGTGTGTGTACTATATTGTTTTGTACTTTGCAAGCGTTCTGACCTGCCTTCATACGCCCACCGCTCAGAGCGCAGGTCTGACCCAGGTACAGATGAGGAAACACTAAACGCTTTACCAGACCTCATTCATCAATGCTGTGATGTTTTTCTCTCCTTTTCAAAAATATCCAAGGGTTCGAGATACGTCTTTTATGTGGTTACTTCATTGATGTAAGTCACTCGTTTTGCACTTGAGAGCAATAAAAGATGCTCGCTACGGTATTCTAGAATCACATGGTTCACTGCAGTCACTTTAAACACTCGCTCTCACTCCACAGCCCTTCTGCTAGCGTGATCCCAAAGGAGAGCGCTAGTGTGCGTGTGTGTGTGTGTTTTCAGCTGTACGCTCACATCTGTCGACCAAAGACACGCGTCACTGCCCGCCGGATAGACTCCAGCGTGTCTGAGCGCCTCTTCTTTCTCCCGGCTCTCAGTTGCTAAGAAACCCTGATATTTGTTTAGACCTACAGGTGGTTTAAAAGGGTTTTCAGGTGTAGAATCTGTACATTTATTCATATTAGTGATTATTTATCAGTGATTATGTCGGAAATGGACAATTTTACCTTATTTTTATTATTGGACAATATTGGAAGCAGATAAAACCTTGGCTTATTTTCCCCTCAACTTAAAACATGTTTCTTAAAATAAAATATTGGTATATAAAATATGGGCATATTTTGGGCCAAACTTTTAAAAAAAAATCTTAAAATAATAATAATTTCATTATTTACCCATGACAGGTTAATTTTTTTTTTTAATTCTTTCAATTATTGGCCGATATTAGAATCCGATAAAATGATGGCTTATTTTTAACTCAAATTTAAACGTTTCTTTAAAAGCAAAAAAAACCAAAAGATTAATAATAATTAAAATATTCTCCTATGACCAAAACTGGAAAATCAGGGCTTATTTTCCCTTGAACTTAAAGGCACACTGTGGAACTTTTCAACCTTTATAATATATTACCAAAACCCATTGAGATGGTACATCGACTTACAATAGGTTGAATGACACGTCTGCCGAAGCCTGAAGGTGTCTGTATCGCTTTTACTCGCACTATGTAACTTCGGGTTTCGGGTAGGAACCCGAGCACAAAAAGAACTACAAAATTCGACCGCTTTACGGCATACGTCACTTCCCCCACCACCCCAACTTCCTCAAATTCTAACGTGAGAGCTCAACTCGCGTTTGATTGCCGGCGTCTGTATGTTGTCGTCATGGCTGAATCAACAGCTACTCGGAAGAAAGCGAAGAAAGCAAAGATTTTGTCAGAGGAGACCAAAAAAAGAAAAAGGGAGAGTTTAAAATAAACATCGGCATAAAAGTGTATATATAATGTAATATTTACTGCGAATTCGTGTAACAAAACTGATATAAGTCAGTCACAACATACTGCCGTATGTATTACAAATGTAAATGTAAATGGGTTTTTTTCCTTTCAGCTCATATATGTTTGTATTTGTGTAAAAGGAAAAACAAACTGAAGACTACAAATAACGGAAATATGTAGTGAGTTATATCAGTTTTGTTACACGATTTCCCGACTACTCGATTTCATCTCCAACCCATTGCAAAGAGATCCTGAAGACGTTTGTTTGCTTCAGGTGTGTTTGATTAGGGTTGGAGATGAACTGTGCAGGACAGACGATCGGCAGGAGCAGGATTGGGCAACCCTTGTCAATGCGACTTACCTGATCAGACATTGTTTTCTACTTTTATTCAATTTGTTTTCTTTATAGGATTTATATTATTAATCTTATATTTATATTATTATTTTGGTCAGTCGTGAATCGATTAACTTTCTCCAACATACAAATCAAATGCCGTCTGCACACACATAAAGACACGGGAGGTTGACTGTTTGTTGACTTTTGCGACAATGCTGCGGCGCTTGTGGCCTCTAGGGGCACTAGACGTGAAAATTACAGGTCGAGCGCACCCTAGTGGCCAAAAATTCCACAGTGTGCCTTTAAACAGGTTTCTTAAAGGGGTCATGAACTGGCTTTTTATATTGTTGTCTGAGGTCAACTTATGACGTTCGCTTGGTTTTTACATTCAAAAACATCAAAATGAATAACTAATAGGCTATTTTCTACCCTAGTTTTGAGCCTAGCTCAAAAACGCTCGGTTTTTATGGGCGTCTCGCATTGAAGACTTGGAAGTAAACGCCCACTGCTGTGAGTGGATAACAGTTTTGCATATTATAATGAGTTTCGTGTCGAATCGGTGGGCGGGGCTAAACCGGCCGTGTTGAAGTAGGCGTTGATCTTCTTCTGCGGGGGTGGTGTTTTATCCTCGTTGTCGTCATAGTTCCCCACTTAGAAAAACGAGTCGTTTGCTGAGCCTGGTGTCAATAAAAGCTTTTATTGGACTAACAAGGACGTTTTCAGTTCTGAAACTTTACAGGAAATTCTTATAATTTGATGACCTCTTAGATGTCAAAAGCTCAAGGAAAATTTGATTTCTCAGTTCATCACCCCTTTAAATAAATAAATAAATAATAATTTAAATATTTTCCTATGACAGGTTACACTTTTCTTTTCTTTTTTCAACTATTGGTCAATATTGGAAGCCATACAACCCATGGCGTTACACACATTAAGATATCAAATTTTCCACAAAAGAGCAAAATGTTAAGATTAGAGGTTCATTGTAAATTTTCTATACATCAAATACAAAACTAGATTCATAATATAAAAACAGCAATCAGAGAACTTGAATCAGTGCATCCCTATCAAACACTTGAATGTATCGATGACTATAGGCCGGATTTCTTCAAGTATTTCATAAACGCATCAGTGTTGTAAATCTTGCAGTGTGGTCGATCATAAACACACTTTAGGTGGTCTCGTGCATCACGCGGTTTCAGAAGGACCTGGAGGATTGTGCGGTGCTGCAAATGTGATTGTATCGCTCGTCTGAATGCACTCCAAGGGTTTCCAAACAAAAGACAAATCTGTACTAGACATCCAGCTTATGTAAAGCTTCTATTGTAAAGTTTATTGCATTGTTATCATGTTATTTTCTACCTTTTTGAGAGAGTTTGCAAATATAGGAACGTTCACATGTAAAAAATGACATTCAGTAGTTTTAGCCACAAATGAGTGCTAATGAAATAACTGTATAAATCAAGATCATTTGCCAAATCTGAAGAACTGAATGATTGTCGGGATCTTTCAGGAATGATGCATTACGTGTGTGTGTGTGTGTGTGTGTGTGTGTGAGGGAGAGAGGCAGGTTACATTCCTATGCGAGTATTTCACAATTACGGACGTTGTACTGAAACTAGTTTTGATATTTGCATTTGATATATTGGGTATTGATATCAGTTTAGTAAAATGTTTTGTTTTTTTAATTACTTAACTTAGTTAATTAAAAATGACAACTATTACTTTGCCATCAGTGCCAACTCTATTTTTGTAGCATGGCAAAAAAATCATTAAAAAAACAAAATGAAACTCTGAGTGTCTCAATCGGTTTAATCTCAAAAACTGAAACTCAAGGTGATGTGCATTGGAACAACTTCCATTTAATGCATTTTGGCAACAGAATTGTTTGATTTCTATTTATGAAAACATCAATATGAAGACGCCATCTCTTTTTCTTTTTCTGGGATGGAGTTTATATTTGCACACTTTGTTACAGATGCATTGAATTTCCAAGCTAATGTAATACCATGCTTTTTTTTTTTTTTTTGTTCTTGCAGTGTGACAAGCATATTTCAAAAGAACCAATAGGCCTACTTCATGTCAACACCAACCCAATTACGCAGCCCATGAAACAAGTCTGATAATAAGAGATCTGTACTGTAGTCTAATAAATTAGGTATTGGGGCAAAATCTTCATGTGTACACTGAGCCAAAATGACAAAAGCCAATAACCTTCAATGCTGAGCGTCGGGCAGAAGCCGTGGATAGTGTCAGCACTGACCACCAGAGGGCACTACCACACAACTGCCATCATAACACCTGCTCAAGTGTGTCATTGTGTCTGTTTCACAATAATGTATCATTTATGGTTATTAGTAATAACTAAAAGTAAGATTATAAGTGTATTCAAGCACTAGAGATTTTGTTTTATTT